CAGATGGTCAATATCAAAATCAGGTTGATTATATTTTTTTCAGCCAAAGATGGAGAAGCTGTATACAGTCAGTAAAAACAAGATCTTGATGGAGCTGGATGTGACTCAGATCATTAACACCTTATTGCAAAATTCAATTCTTGTATTGAAGATAGTAGGAAAACCACTAGGCCATTCAGGTATGACCAAAATCAAGTCACTTATGATTATACAGTGAAAGTGACAAATAGATTCAAAGGATTAGATCTGATAGGCAGATACCTGAAGAACAGTGGACAGAGGTTTGTAACATTGTACAGAAGACAGGGACAAAAACCATCCCAAATGAAAATAAATGCAAGAAGGTAAAGTGGTTTTCTGAGGAGGCCTTACAAATAGCTGAGAAAATAGGAGAAAAAAAGACAAAGGAGAAAGGGAAAGTTATATTCAACTGAATACAGAGTTCCAAAGAATAGTAAGGAGAGATAAGAAAGCCTTCTTAAGTGAAAAATGCAAAGAAGTAGAGTAAAACAACAGATTGGGAAAGACTAGCGATCTCTTCAAAAAAAGTGGCGATATCAAGGGAACATTTCATGCAAAGATGGGCACAATAAAGTACAAAAACCACAAGGTCCTAACAGAAACAGAAAAGATTAAGAAGAAGTGCAAGAATACACAGAATAACTATACAGAAAAGGTCTTAATGACTTGGATAATCATGATGGCCTGTCTCTCACCTAGAGCAGACATGCTGGAGTGTGAAGTCAAGTGGGCCTTGGGAAGCATTGCTATGAATAAAGCTAGTGGAGGTGATGGAATTCCAGCTGACCTATTTCAAAAACTAAAAGATGGTGGTGGTAAAGTGCTGCATGCAATATGACAGTAAATTTGGAAAACTCAGCAATGGCCATGGGATTGGAAAAATGTAACTTTCATTCCAATCACAAGGAAAGGCAATGCCAAAGAATGTTCAAACATACAGTTGTGCTCATATCACATGCTCTCTGGGTAGTGCTCAGCCCTTCAAGCTGCTCCTTTAATAACATGTGAACAGACAACTAGTAGATGCACAAGCTGGATTTAGAAGCGGCAGAAGAACCAGAGCTCAAATTACTGATATCCACTGGATCATAGAAAAAGCAAGGAAATTCCAGAAAAATATCTACTTCATTCACTACATTAAAGCCTTTGACTGTGTGGATCACAACATACTGGGGAAAATTCTTCAAGATGGAATTACCAGAACACCTTACCTGCCTCCTCAGAAACTTGTATGCAGGTCAAGAAGCAACAGTTAGAACTGGACCTGGAACAAAAAACTGGTTCAAAATTGGGAAAGAAGTTTGTCAAGGCTATATATCATCACCCTGCTTATTTAACTTATATTCAGAGTACATCATGTGAAATGCTGGGCTGAATGAATCACAAACTGGAATCAAGATTGCTGGGAGAAAAATCAACAACCTCAGATATGCAGTTGATACCACTCCAAATGGCAACAAGTGAAGAGGAGCTAAAGAAGCTCTTGATGAGGGTGAAAGAGAAGAGTGAAAAATCTGGCTTAAAATTCAACATCAAAAAACAAAGATCATGGCATCCTGACCCAACATTTCATGGCAAATAGGGGAAAAGTGGAAACAATGGTATATTTTATTTTCTTGAACTCCAAAATCACTGAAGACAGTGACTGAATCCATGAAATTAAAAAAGACACTTGCACCTAGAAAGAAAAGCTATGATAAACCTAGACGGCATATTAAAAAGCAGAGATATCACTTGGCCAACAAAGGTATGTATAGTCAAAACTATGGTTTTTTTAGTAGTCAACTACGAATGTGATAGTTGGAGCATAAAGAAAGCTGAGCACCCAAAAATTAATGGTTTTGAAATGTCATGTTGGAGAAGACTCTTGAGAGTCCCTTGGACAGCAAGGAGATCAAACCAGTCAATCCTCAAGAAGATCAACCCTGAATGTTCACTGGAAGGACTGATGCTAAAGCTGAAGCTCCAATAATTTGGCCATCTGATATGAAGAGCCAACTCATTGGAAAAGACCCTGATGCTGGGAAAGATTGAAGACAGGAGGAAAAGGGGGTGGCAGAGGATAAGATAGTTAGATGGCATCACTGATTCAATGAACATGAGTTTGAGCAAACTCTGGGAGATAGGGAAGGACAGGAAAGCCTACCCTGTTATAGCCCATGGGGTTGCAAAGAGTGAGACATGACTTAATGACTGAACAACAATACTAAAAGGCAATAACACACAGTTTGAAGAGAGATTCAGAATTTAAAATATATATGATTAATATGGTAACAGGTCTAATAGATAAAACAGACAGCATGTAGGAACAAATGATCAGTGTAAAAAGAGTGATTAAATTTTTTCAGAAGAATCAAAAATAAATGTCTGAAATCAAAATCTCTGCAAGAGATATGAATGATACTTTAAAAAAAGATTTATTTATTTATTCATTTACTTTTAGCTGTACTGGTCTTTGTTGCTGCATATGTGCTTTCTCTAGTTGCTGTCTGTGGGGCTACTCTCTAGTTGTGGTGCCTGGGCTTCTCATTTTGGTTGCTTCTCTTGCTGCAGAGCATGGGTGCTAGGGTGCATGGACTTAAGTAGTACAGTACGTGGGCTAAGTAGTTGGAGCTTGTGGGCTCTAGAGCATTGGCTCTTCAGTTGTAGAGCATGGGGTTAGTTGGTCCAACACATGTGAGATCGTCCCAGACCAGGGATCAAACCCGTGTCCTGTTTCTCAACCACTGAAACACCAGGGAATCTCCAGAATAATACCTTTGATGTGCTCATTAGTGGACTCCACAAGACTGAAGAAAGAATAATTGACTTGAAGATATGGCAAAAGAAACTTTCATAATGAAAGGCAAAGAGAAAAAAAGACTGGAAAAAACCAGAATAACAAAGAACTATGAGAAACCTAAATAAGGTGTAAAGTGAAAGTGAAATTTGCTCAGTCCTATCCAATTCTTTGCAACCCCATGGACTATATAGTCCATGGAATTCTCCAGGCCAGAATACTGGAGTGGGTAGCCTTTTCCTTCTCCAGGGGATATTCCCAACCCAGGGATCGAACCCAGGTCTCCTACATTGCAAGTGGATTCTTTACCAGCTGGGCCACAAGCGAAGCCCAAGACTACTGGAGTGGGCAGCCTATCTCTTTTCCAACAGATCTTCCTGACCCAGGAATCAAAACAGGGTCTCCTGCATTGCAGGCAGATTCTTTACCAACTGAGCTCTCAGGGAAGCCCAAATAAGGTGTAATGTACACAAAATGGGCAACTAGACAACAGGAAGGAAAAGAGAAACACACAAAAAAAATGGAAGCAGTAAAGATAGAGAACCTTCCCAAATTGATGCCAAACAGTGTATGATTTCAAACAGTATTCCTATATAGTATTCTAAAATAGGCACAATTTTGGAGACAGTAAAAGAGATTATTAGTTTTCAGGAGTTAGAGGAGAAGGAGGAATAAATAGGCAAAGCACAGATTTTTAGGACAGTGGGGGAAAACAAATATATAACTATTTATAGTTTATTTATAGTAAATATAACTAAATATAGTAATGAATCCAACTCTAATTCAATAGCATGTGGTTTATCCTATTTGATTTTTATTGCCCTATTTTTTTACCTCCAACACTATTTCTGCTAAAATAATTTTTCATTAAATAGGTTTATATAGTGTCTAATATGCAGTGCACATCTGCTTTTTCCTCACAGTACTTTTGCTTATACTATTCATATTTACTTTTATAAAGAACTACCGATTCTCCCCTCTGAGCCAAATTAACGTTTTTCAAATTATTTAATGCACATTTTAAAGTATAGGAAATCCTACATCGTTAAATTTTTAAAGCTTCACAATAATATTTCGTTATAGATATTATGGACACACACTGAAGGTATGTTACAATGCCTGGATTATGTAATGTTACACATAATATATTTGAATCCTTTACAGAGTATGGATTAATAACATTCTAGGACAAGGTAAAGATCCATATAAGATATTTCATCCAGTTATGCCACTTCATAATGCTGTTCCAGGAAACTGATTCTTTAAAACATCTGTATCTGCTAATTCATCAATATAAAACATAATAATAACAGGCATATTTAAAGAAGATTGTACAGAATAAATGTACATATTCACCAAATGACTTGCACTGTCCTTAAAACAACAAAATGCAGACCAGTGTGTTTAAATCTTTACATAGTAGCTAACTAAAAGTTTCTTCAGTAAATGATACTTCTACAAATTATTTTTAAAGTAGTTCATCAGCATTAATACCAGAATGCTTAAGTTTTTAAAAGTAGGTTACAGCCCTTTATATGTAAAATTCAATCCCAGTTGTTAATTTGTCTGAGAGCTCTGCAGATAGAGTCAAAAGTCTCACAGAGACCTTGGGGCAACTAATTAGTATACAGGAACATACCTGCCTGAGGATGTGGTTACATCTGGATAGGGAGAGAAGAACAAAATTTACCTTTTTGAAAAAAGAAAAGAAAAATGTCCTTGAGTGTCTTAATTATTACTAGCTCAATTGAAAATTATTCTTTCTATGTAGAGAAATCTTAATTATATGTTTTATTGTTTAGTGAAGAACATTTTGTAACATGAAGAAATGTTAATGCAAAAATGATTATGTTCTAGTTAGTGTCCTAGGCTACTGTGAATGAAAAATGTTGTGCACTCCATCAGTAAACAAAAATGATGTTGCAGCCATCAAGTCCCTACAGCCCTCCCCCACTCCCCGTGGTGAGCCCCGAGGGAATTCAGGGTGGAGACAAAAGAGCTGCCCTCAGCCAAGCCCTAAGCCACAGCAGCCACCCCGACTGTACGCCCAGAAGGGGCTCAGGATGAGAAGGGATACTGGCCCTAGATAGTGAAGGTGCACATTAAAGGAATGATGTCAGTGAGCCCAGGCGTGTCCATCCTCCGGTACATACAGAAATGCTAAATTCATTAACATGACAAATCTGGTTTTCTTTAACAGAAATCTTTTGAAGTTTCAACTACCTGGTCTTTGTTGCAAAAGCTCCTGCTATCCTGGCTCCTCCCTTCAGACTAGTCTCTTAGAGCTAACTGGGAGGTTGTGTCCCAGCTTAAGTCCTCAGTTTTATCTGCCAAATGAAAGGTAAATCTCAACTTTTGGGCTGTGCATTTTTTTCAACGAGACAAATCATCATTTAAAACTGGATTTAATAAAATTTTTACAATTGTTACCTTTTCTAAATTTAAGTTAAACTGTTTAAAATCATAAAGTTCACTGTTACACTATCATTTTTTGAAAATATATAAATGCAGTATATTTCCCAGTGATATTTTTTTATTCATCCATTCTGAAAGCACTTAAGAAACTTGTAGTAAGACTTTAGGCACTAGTGGTAAAGAATCTGCCTGCCAGTGCAGGAAACATGAGTTTGATCCCTTGGTTGGGAAGATCCCCTGGAGGAGGAAATAGCAACAACCCACTCCAGTATTCTGGCCTGGAGAATCCCATATACAGAGGAGCCTGGTGGGGTATAGTCCATAGGGTTACAAAGAGGCATACACAACTGAGCCCCAGCACGACAGAGACTTTATCCTATCATTTCTTAGAAAACTGTTTATACAGCACTGACATTATCAGTGAATCGCAAGTAATAGAAAATATTAACATACATTATAGTGTTTTGGATTTTATTGTATTATCTAAATTCCATGGATAGTAGAAAGCTTAAAAATCAGAAAAAAAATGAATATACCATATTACCACTTTTATGTAGCAGAATGAAGTTTGAGTAATGTGTAGTGAGGATGTTTTTAATTTACACCCAATAATGTCTAACATCATGTATCAGTGTTTAGTGAGTAGAATATATTTGTGATTCCAGGATGTTAAAAATGTCATCAGTTCAAACTGCACCATTGTATTATACATTACCATATTATTTTAGTAGTAGCAAGATATCTAGTCATTGCAATAATAGATTAAGTAAAGAACATATGAGTTCATTTATACTTTGCTTGAAAATATTTCCTGTTGACTGAGGAGACACAAGTTTTGTACTATCAACGTATCTAATTAATATAATTTACATTTTCCATATTTCTTCTTTTCACTTTAAATACATGTTCCAGGTATATCTTTTTTGAAAAGTGAATCTTGCTGTTGTTTTTACACACAGCTGGATAATGATGCCTGGGATAATCTTAGGTGGACTTGGCCTGCAATTTCTTGAAGTGTGTCTTAGGTTCCCAGCCAGAGATTAAGGCCAGGTTGCAGTGGTTAAAGCACCAGATCCTAGCCACTTGGCCAGTGGTCAGTGACAAGGGCCCTGGCCCTTCAGCTTTGCAGAAAAAAACTTCCATGAACATGGAAAGTAGTGAAGCAAATATTTATTAAGAGTATAAAGATTATCTGCCTGCAATGCAGAAGACACAGTAGATGTGGCTTGGATCCCTGGTGGGGAAGATCCCCTGGAATAGGAATTGGCAACCAACTTCAGTATTCCTGCTGGGAAAATTCCATGAACAGAGGAGCCTGGTGGGCTAGAGTTCATAGGGTCACAAAGAGTTGGACATTACTGAAGTGACTGAGCATGCACCTGTGGATAGAAACACAGGCAGACTCAGTGTAGCTGAGTCTCTCCCTCATGGCAATTTGAATTACTTTTATGGGACACTTCTTCTGTGTTTCCTTCAGCCAATCATTTGCCTGGTTCATGGTCTATATTTGATGTATCTCAGGATCCTCCTATGTGTGCAAACACCTCTCAGCCAAGATAGATTTTACTGAAGAAGTCTGTGGGTAGCCTGGCATTAGTTAGCATCACTCCCCTTTGACCTCCAAGGAGTTTTTCTGTGTATATGTGCTTAGAGAGATCTCCTGACTTTGAGAATAAGAAATGTATGGTTTGTCAGGGCCCAGCCTTCTTCCTCCATTGTCCTGCTAGTCTCCTGTTGAAGTTTGGTCCATAGGAAATGAATCTCCAATCATATTACCCCGCGGGTGTGGTGGGGCATCTACCTCCTGCCTTAGGGAGACTAATGTCAATTAGGATATTTCTCAGAACATCATGCTGTGGAGACCCTTCCTATGTGATGATCTTCTACATCATCATCCTGTTCTACAGAAAAATGACTTTCCAAAATTGTTTCAGTTTTCAGTTTTACCATAATGAAGATTTACCTCTGCCTTTCCAGTGTTTGGTACTATAAAGTTATTTCAGCCTTAGCCATCCACTGCAGAGTAGTCTGGACGGATTTTATCAGCTGGGCCAGAAAGCAGAATTGCCAAGGAACATACATAGCATTCCTTTCTGAGTTTACCTAGAAATATTGCAAGCTAAGTTTATCTCCTTAGTCCAATTCCATTTTTAGATGTACCATAAATGGATATATTTACTTAACAAAGGACAGGCATTAATGCCTTTAAAAGCATGAAAGCAGTATATAAATGACATAAAACCTTTGAGTATGCATAATCTTATCTGTTCACATAGATTATTTAACAAATATTGTGATGTGCTCTGAATATAAAGACTGATTTCACAAGATGATTCCTGGAGTGCCTGAACCAAAACATCAAGGTCATTTGCAATTTGTAGTATCATGTACATATTGATTGTGAAGAGAAAAATTCAGATGATATATTTCTCTACTTTGTTTAATTTTCAGGGAGTTACACTTTTGGAGAACAGTAATTTCTCCCTTTTGAGTCTTTGTAAGTTTTTGTTTGTGTATATTTCTCTATTTAATTTTTATGGAATTACACTTTTGGAGAAAAATAATTTCTCCCTTTTGAGTCTTTGTAAGGTTTTGTTTGTAGACTCCCAGGGGATCTCCTCAACTCCGGGATGGAACCTGTGTCTCTTGTGTTTCCTGTATTGGCAAGAGGATTCTTTACCAGTGCACAACTGGCAAGCCCAAGTTGTTGTTTGGTTTCTAGTAACTAATATTTGTGAAAGTTAAAATCCTAAAAAGATGAAAGTTCTTTGTACATTCTAAGGTGGCTCAGTGGTAAGGAATCCACCTGCCAAGGGCAAGGAGACACAGATTTGGGTTCAGTTCCTGGGTCAGGAAGATCTCCTGGAGGAGGAAATAGCAACCCACTCTAGTATCTTGCCTGGAGAATCCCATGGCAGACTACAGTCCATAGGGTTGCAAAGAGATGGAAACAGCTGAGCAACTGAGCGTGCATGCTACAAGGTCTAAAACCATATATTGTTTTTGGACATTAGAGGTATTTATAGAGTTTGAATAGAGTTCAGGTGATTTCTATATCAAACAGTATTGAAAGTTATCTTTGGAAATTAGAATCTTTTAAAATTAAAACTATCTTTTTAGAAAAATATTATAACATTATACATATATATATAGTTCGAACAGCTTTAAAATAAAAGAATTTTTATACATGTATATGTTCATATTATATATGTAAAATCTTTATTAAAAAAGCACTCATATTTGTAAAGGGTCCATTTCATGACAAAGCAGTCATTCTGGTAGATTTTTAGGTATGTGTAGTGTTATTTTGAAGTTAAGACCAGCCAGGAGAACTTAGAAGTATGTTGATATAATTTTATTGTTGATATGATTTTATTGTTGACATACTGGACTTGAAATTTTCATGGCTAGAGGATAATTTCCAGAACTAATTGAATATGTCTTGACAAAAGGAAAAGCTTTCTAGAGCAGGTTCACAAAGAAGTATTTTGTCAAAATGAGTGAATTATGAATGCCAGAAGAACCAATAAAAAGGAAATTGGTTCTACATATAAAAAATTCCCCTAAATCCATGCCTAAAGTATAACTGAAAGGATCAATATTTTTTGTATTATTCCTAATCCAATTACACATGCCTTTAAATTACTATAGTTAACAGTACAGCATTCTGATTGGGTACTATAAATTCATTAAAAAAAATTTAGCCAGTGAAAATTGGGTTGCTTTTACAGGAGTTTAAAGGAATAAGCTACAAACTATGTTATCCAATTAGTTTTGTATTTCCACTGAATAAATCTTGCTATCAATTCCCAGTATAGCCGATAATTTCAAGTTTGTGTTAAATATGTAGCAGCTGGAGGTTGCCAAATGAATGTGTTGAATGAGTGTATTTTAGTGAAGTGTGTACTATCTTTTTTGACATGCATGTAATGATAACATATTTTCTGGCAGCTGGATTCCCTAGGGCAAAATGAAGCTGTAATAGAAGATAAAACAGCCAGCTTGCTTATGTGATGATCTTAAAATAGCATATATATATTTCAAGAAAAAATGTCTCAATTGGATGACTGACTTTAGCTGAGGTCATGTTTTACAATGCATATTAGTCAAACATTTTTCAATATCTTGAGTAGAATTGTAAACAGTATGATAAATGCAATTAACTAACTTTAGCTTATAAACAAAAATCTCAAATTTTATTTAACAGTCATCAAACTGTCTTAGCAAAGCATTTTTTAAATGAAAAGAAAGGATGATTTAATTTTTCCAACCACAATATAACAAAGTCATGTGTGCTTGGTGACTTTTATTCTTTTTATATAACCTGATCTTTAATACATGAAAAATTTTCCCGTGAAACACTAGTTAGAAATGATGACTTTCCCACCCCCCCCAAAAAGGTTTATAGTCAACCACCAATTTTGAATAGTGATTTTATAAGAACTATATTATTTATCAAATCTACATTATTAAATATATTTGCACCTATCATCCTATTTCCATTCTTATACAACATGACTCATTTTACTTTACCATCATTGTAATGTGGACTTCAGTTATTTGAGTATGTTTAATTATACTATAGAAGAAGATAAAATAGTCTTTCAAATAGATGAAATTCATAAGATGTGCTGGTATATATGATGAATATTCCATCAGATTTCAAATATAAGTAGAACCTACAAAATACATTAAGTATGGATGCAACCTGTCAGGCATTATAGAATAGGCATTAATAAAATATATCATATATGACAAAAGACTCCGAGAGAATATCCCTAACTCTAAGAGGATTGATAATAATAAACAGGAAGCTTAACATTTGTATAGACTGTGACATAAAATGAGAAAAAGTGACTAAGAAAAGCAGAGGCAAGTAAAATTTTGAGTGCAATATTAACTTTCAGGCATATAATGTAGTAGTGGGATAATAACAAGTAATAAAAAGAGGATGGTTTTTCAAGAGGTAATAACTTGAGTTG